GTATCACACTCAGCAAAACGGTATCACACTCAGAAAAACACAAGGGGAAAGCGATTTGAATATGAATATATTTCCTTTCACTTTATATTTCCGCTCTACGTTTAACACATTGAGCACCAAATTGTCCAAATCATTATCATATATTTAATTAATTGTCTACAGTCTACTTACAGTAATTGTTTTGGTAAATGATAGTATTATATATTTAATCGTCTGTTTAATAATTGTTTTGATAATTTTCCTAGCCTGTGACTGTGTTAATTAACACAGGCTATAATTTTCCATGTTTTCCTCGACATTTGAGATATCGCGAACAATTAAAATGCGCAAATTATGTTGGCACTGGCGTTTTTAAATACGCAAGCCAATTATGTATCTGCTTCCAAAACGGAACTGCGCATTTCCAAAATTCTGGTGAGAGAATTGAAGGATTAAAAACACTGTAGCACACGGGAGCTACAATCTTGGATATAACTGATTGAGACTTGACACCCCTTATGATAAATTCCAATATTCCATGTTGAATCATGTCATCGTGTCGCGCTTGTGTCATGGTAAATGGCCAAAAGTTGTTTCGGCGTTGTTTATATGTCAATGTGCGTTAACATTGCAATATTGGTTAACAAGGGTTATGCCCAAGGTTGTAGGTAGAATAAATTTGTTTTAAGGGGGCCTTTAATAATTGGGATGTATTATATCTCCAACAGGGCGCTTATATAGTGTATTTATATTAAGCGCACAAGGGCCGGTTGGTCGTTCAAAGGTGGGTTAGCACTAATCCACTAATCCTTAGCATTTAACCTGCTGTTTTAGTTTGTATACTTCTGCACGCCTGTTTATTTCAAAACTTCAGAGGCGAAGTAAACTCCTATCGATCCGCACAAGATCTCTGAAGAAATATTTCCAAATGTATAGACAAGCTGTCAGGAAGTTTGCTTTAAACTAGTTAATCTAGGGTAAGGCTATAATCGGCTTTCGATTAAGCTAACCTATAGCTATAGGGTTAAGCTACCCTATAGCTTTGAACAACTGGCCTCTGAACTCGAACAATTTGTCTCACGCAGTTTCGATTTGTCAACATGTTGGCGAACGAATTTACTCCCGTTTGTAACTCGCGAGAGACAATGGCTAAATTGGTTTAATTGGTTAATGACTGGCCAGCAGCCATTCAGCCTCATAGTCACAATTCTCTGGGAATCTAGGTACAGTATCTCATTAAAAATCTGTGTTGAAAATCTAGGCATCTCATTCAAAATCTACAGTAACTGATAAATACCTATACACCTAGATTTTTTCATTTAATCAATTTTAGCACATGTTGTGTAGATTATATTTGAGCACACAATATCACTGACGACGTGATACCAATTATGAAATAGCACCCACGCCAGGACGATAATTCTGCCTACGTATCTTCATCACGTGACCTATAAACGACTTTGCATTTGTTCCCTGAGTTCTTGTTTAGCCACGGCAGTCAGGTGCACTTCGTCAGGGCCATCAGCGATGCGGAGAGTCCGCAATCCTGCGTACATATAGGCCAGCGGAGTATCCTGTGAGACGCCGGCACCACCATACGACTGAATAGCACGGTCTACGACTCTTTGTGCCATGCGAGGAACTGCTATTTTGGCCATGGCAATCTAGAGATTGGAAAAAGTCTTGCAAATCTATGGCATGGTTTTAATGGCGGTCTGTATGTCAGTTGTCAGCTAAAAGTCAAGCTTACTGTCAAGAATCATTAACATATTTTGCAAGATACCAATTACTGTTTTAATGTTTGTCATCTACACAAGTAAAAATTTCACACTTGTAGCAAGCTTGTCAACAAGTTGTAGCAATTCTGTTATTTTATCAAGTTGCTTCATAGACTTGCTCCAAGTCTCTCTTTCATTGTCATATAATATCGATCCACTATAGTGTAGATTACATGACGTAGCACGGAGGGGCGTCATGTAATGTACACTATAGTGGATCGATACTATATGACAAGGAAAGAGAGACTTGGAGCAAGTCTAGTTGCTACAAGGTTGTCACTCGCAACTTGTTGACAAATTGTTGAATTGCAGTGGACGGTTGTATAAAAAAGTGATTAAAGTTAACTGTAGTTAGTGCATGAAACGTCATCCAATAAGAAACGCGTATTTGAGAGTTAATCACTATTTAACTACAACATAGTGATTGAAAAAGTGATTAAGAGTTTTATACAACCGGCCCGAGGACGATAACAAGTTGTTGGAACAACTTGTAACAAGTCTGTTGAGTTCAACAACCTTGCAGCAAGTTGTCAACAAGCTGGGAACAAGCAGTGCGAACGCATCCTGTTGGCAAGTTGTTGGAACAGCATTGCATGTACACACGTAAAAAAGCACAAGTTGTTACAGGTCTGCAATCAAGTTGTTACAAATCTGTTCCCAAGCTGTCGACAAGTTGTGTTCCTAGCTGTTGTTACAAGTTTGGAACAAGTTGTTTAACAACTTGTAACAAGCTTGATGGTATTATCAAATTTGTTACAAGGTCTGCTCTAACAAGTCTGATACAGTCATGATATAACAAGAATACAAGGTTGACGACACAAGGTTGCAACAATATTGTTATATCATGGCTGTCTCGGAGCAATCTTGCAACAAGTCTGATAATATCAACAAGGTTGTTACAAGTTGTTAGCAGTTTGTTTCAAGCTTGTTGACAACTTGGGACAAGCAGTGCGAACACAACTTGTTGACGGCTTATTGGCAGACTTGCTACAAGATTTCTACGCGTGTGGAACCATTGAACTATAAATAAACTGGAAGGCTAACTGCTATGATGAAGGCCTATGATTTGATGAAGCCAAAATAGTTTTTCTGAGTTATGAGCAGAAATACTTGACCCCAAACGTCGGACTATATATCAAATTGAAGCTATTGAAAATTGCTATTCGGTGTGGAAATTTCAAGACTTCAGCGAAAAGAAAAATATTTAAAAAATACAAAAACAACTGCAAAACGGCAAATTATCGGTAACAGTGGCGTGCTGGGTACTATTTTTCTGGAGGGGCCAGTGGGCTGTCAACCAATATGCGCCCCTATAATGTTACACTTGATAAACGAGGACCGAAGGCACGAGCCGAGTGCCGCAGGTGCGAGGTTTGTCTAGGGGGTCCGGGGGAACGCCCCCAGAAAATTTGAATTTAGAGTCTCTGAAATGCCATTTCCTGGACTTTGGGGGAAGATTTGACAGAAATCTGATGGTCAGGAAACGGCATTATAACGTGTCGAAATTTGCAATTTGGTTAGCATTTAGTAGTAGTATTTAAATTATGCAATGCTAACTACTTCCAGCGATTAATCTAATCCCAATTCTGTTCTCTACTGATCTACTGTTCTGAGCACATTTACAACTTAAAGCTCTTTTATACAATAACACACGCACCCACGCATATGCATTTTAAGGTTTCCTTGCCTGGCTGCCAAAAGGGCATGTTTCAGCATTATTTCATTACTTACATTACTCATGCTTCTTGTGCAAACAACTAAATTGCGTACAC